GNCCCCTCCATTTTGAGAAACATTTTTTTTTTCGGGATCACAATGACATTATTATTTTCATATCCTTAAATTTATTGTTAAAATGTCTATTATACCTCGCCATTTTGAGGTATACCAGCTATTTTCTAAAATAGAACTTGATCATCTATTTTTACATAAAACTTTTCATTTATCCCCTTTCCTTTCTTAAGCTCTGTTTATTATTATTATACACTTCAACTATATTATTTCAAGTGTATTTCCAGATTTATATATATATTTAGCGTATATCTTTTTTTTTGATTATTTTATTGCCTACGGCATTATCAAGTGTTCATTTCGGTTACGATTATACATATATATATACATAAATAGGCAATTGCAGTAACTCAATACAATTAAATACTTACTTACTAAGAAAAAAAGAATCAAGTGAAGTAGAGAAAAATACTATATTAATAAAAACCTAGTATTATTTTTCTATTAAAAAATAAATAAATAAATTCATTAAACCAAAATGCCCACAAAGAAGCAGAAAAATCATTCCAACAACGAAAAAGCGCAGCCGCGCGGTCACACAAACCACCATGGCAATATTGATGAGGCGACGCTTTCTGCGCTCGTTGAGGCCATCGAGGGCGGCTCGAACAAAAAAGGAATGACAAAATCGCAGGTCAAAACCCTGGAGGAGAAGCGTGTGCAGGCAATTGAGCGCATCTATGCCTCGAAGCTAGACGAAATCGCGATCCACCCCCACCACTTCCACAACGCGGTGCTCGCGCAGCGCTTTCAGCAGCAGTGCTCGATTCAAGCGGCGGCCTACGTGAACGTGCCGATCCCTCTAAAACCGGCGCAGCAGCGCTGGCAGAAAGTCGCCCCCGACCGCTACGTCCGCTATGAATCGTTTGATATCACGGACAGCAGCAAAAGCGACGCCACGATGAACTTCATCGTCGACCTCTTCACGGCGGAGCTGTCGGAGCCGTACAGCAGCTTTACCTATCAGTACTTCGTCTTTGGGTGGCCGGATCTTTGCCTGACGGCGTACGGCGTGCAGAGCAGCACCCCGCCGGAGGACTCCGTGAAGGGGGAAAAGGTAGGGACGATTGTTTCGCGGGTGGTGCGGGAAGGCCCTGGGGAGCCGCTTTCCGGGTACGTGGCGATGTTCGCCGTTCTTCCGAAATTCCGAGGATTCCGCCTCGGCAGGCGGCTGATCGAGCTCACGGTGGAGCTGATGCGCGCGAAGGGGTGTGATGAGGTTTACTTGGAAACCCCCATCACGAATGAACGCGCGTATTTGTTGTACACTAGTCTAGGATTTGTAAAAACCGCGTTTCTGCCGCGGTACTATCTAGATTATTCTGATGCGGTTCGGCTGAAATTGTGGTTAAAGGACGCCTTTCCGAACGAAAGAGAAGACTCCTCGGAGGCTGCGGCCGCTCCAACGAAAGGGGACGCTGTAGAAGAACAGAGTGCAGCGTAAAAGAATTGAGATTCAAGGAAAGGGAAGAAAAAAAAATAGGCTTGGAGAAGGGAGTGAAATAAAGGGTAAACGTTGGTTATAAATGTGTGTGGTAGATGTGCTTTATTATAACCCTTTTAGGTGTTTAGTTCTTTTCACTATATAAAATATATATATCTCGATGTTTTTGATTCTCTAACATAGCAACGAAGATAATGTTCACCATTACTATTCATGCATTTCCTCTTGAAAGAAAATTTTAAGAATTAAAAATGGAAGCTCTAATAAATGTTCTCGAAAAAAACGATAAGGAGGTTAAACCCCTGTATATACGCCCTTTTTAGTTCATTTCAAACTCATTCCCAAACTACGTGCTTTTCAAAGAATTTCACGCGGTATTTATTGCTTTTGTGTGTGTATGTGTACTTGGGATCACAAAAATTTCGGTTTTGTTAAACTTACAACAAACATTTTCAGCCCATAGATCATCTTGCACACAAAGATAAAGATGCTTTAAAAACTGCGTCTTACATCATGAGGGCTTTTTCTTGTTTTCCTTTTCTGTTTGTCTAGATTTCACTGAAATTGTTAAGGGTGTTCCTGTGCCCAGTCTGTCTAAAGCTGGTATCTACCACATCAATAAAACCATGAAATGTAGGGCGATATTTCTGTCGAAACATTTATGTCATTTCTGACCTAATCTAAAATTTTTTTTCTTGAAACTGTGTTATACGTTACAATCGGGATGCTTCCGTTTTTTCTCCTCTCTTTTTGGAACTACTTCGGTATAGTTAAGAGGGAAAAATCCGTCGTATTGAGTGCTTATCCGCTCCGACTTTGCGCCAAAAGTCAACCGTCTTATTCCTAAGTGGATTATATATATAT